TATTTTAATTATTAAATATTATTAAATATTGCTTAGACATTCAAATAATATTTATTTTTATTTATTTTAAATTTAGAAATGCCTAAGCAAAAGGTATAAAATATTGCTTCATATTTTAATTTAATTTAAAACTGTTGAATAAAAGATTATTCAAAACATTATTTTATAAAATTTGCTTAAGCATTCCTTTTCAAGATTATTATTATTATTATTTTTTTAATTTTTGAAATGTTTTCTTTTTATTTACAGCTTGAAGCTTGGCTTACAATTTGCTTGCAAACTTTTCACGCCTTCTCTGTTCCTCGCAGCAGCTGCTGGCACTTGGTGGTGCGAGTGGTGCAGTGGCTCAGTTGTGGTTGCCCTTGCGCGCATTGAAGAACATTCGCGCCACCTTGCCTAGGGCGCCAACAAAGTCCCAGCGCTGTGCCTGCTGCTGGTGCTGCTGCAGCTCCTCCTCCTCCTGCTGCTGCTGCTGCTGCTGCTGGCAGTCGCGCCTCGCCTAGGAGGGCGTGGAGTACCAGGCACTCGCCGGGCTGCCCTTGTGGTACAGGTGGAAGCTCGAGTGGGGCGCGAAGTATTGCGGCTGGTCCAGGTTGCTGTAGGTGACGCCGCCCTCCGTCGTGGTCGTGGCGTGCGGGTGCATGCCCGCCGTGTAGGCCTGCGGCTTCAGGGGCAACGTGGCGCCCGCCGAGCCGTCCACGGGCGTGGCGTATTGGCCGCGCAAGGGGTCGGCGTAGTCGTAGCCGGCATTGGAGCCCACCAGGAGGCCGGGCGGCGCGGCCGCCGAGGGCAGCTTGGCCGAGTTGTTGGAGTCGCGCGGCGACACGGAGCTGGGCGGCGTCATGGCGTTGTGGTAGTCAATGGAGCTGTGGTAGCCGCCGTAGGTCGACACCAGGTTGGTGAATGCGTCTGCCGAGTTGCCGCTCTTCTGGCCCACAGGATGCGGCACGGAGGCAGCTGCCGCCGCCGAGTGCAGCTGCAGATACTGGTTCTCATAGGAGGACTCGCTGCCCGGCGGCGTGGGCAGCGGCCCGCCCTGCTGCTCGCCGTAGAACACGCCGGGCACGCCCACTCCAGTGGGCGTCTGCCTGGCTGTGGCGCGTATCACGCTCTCGCGATTCGCGTACAGCTGGCGCAGCAGCGCCGTGGCCGGCATCGGGGCGGGCTGCTGGTAGGGCGTGCCGATCCACTGGATCGTGCTGCTCTTCTCGTTGGCATCTCCGGCGTGGAGCTGCTGCTGCGCCTGCTGCTGCTGCTGCTGCTTGATCAGCGCGTCCGTGCTGAAGTCTGTGCTGGGCTGGTTGTTGTTGTTGTTGTTGCTGGGCGAGGGCAGGTGCTTCGACATGGCGTGCTCCAGGTCCTTGACAGCCGAGTCGGCCGAGGCAGCTGGCTGCACGTCCTCCACCATGGAGGGCAGGCGGCTGCGCGGCTCTCGCTGCTGCTCCAGGGCGGGCAGCTTGCTCAGCGGTTGCTGCTGCTGCTGCTCTGCCTGCAGCTGACCCACCTGGCCCACCTGTTGCTGATCCGCTTGCTGCTCCTCCGCCTGCTGCGCCGCTTTGCTCTTGCGCTTGCGCTTGCTGCTCGGCGCGCTGCCGGTGGGCGTCGGTGTGGGCGTGGGCGTGGCAGACATCGTCACAGGCAGCACGCCGTCCACCTCGACGCCCAGCGGCGTGGGCGAGTCCTTGATCAGCGCCAGGCTGCTGTTCAGGTTGCTGCCATGCGCCGCATTCCGCCCCCTGCCCCGCTGCGTGTGGCCCTCTGCGTCGGTCTTGGGCGAGCCGAGCCCCAGCTTCATGTCGCCACTCAAGTGGGCATTGCCCTCGCCCGAGGCATCGCCGCCAGGCGAGCCGCTGCTCTTGTCGTTGCCCAGCCCCTCCTCGTGCTTGATGCTGTCCACACTCGGCTCCAGCTGGCAGCAGTCCAAGATCAGATTCTCATTCTCACGATTGCTGAGGGGACAAAGGAGAAGTGACGAGCGGGTTAGTCGGTTGTGATATACCCTATTTGTACCATTTATTAGGGAGGTCCGGGGCTCCCTTAAGTATCTCTAAGACATCTTGGGAATTTCCCTGGACTCAACTCCTTATCCTATTCCCACTTATACTCAGGATTCACCCACCTTATAACGTAGTTGACGCAAATGATGTTCTGCTCGTCGGCATTTTTGGTGCTGCAGACGACTGTGGCGCAGGTCTGGAGCCAGGTGTAGCCGCCGTTCTTGTTCATCAGTCTGTAGTAGCCAGTCAGGACCTGCCCCTTCTCGATCACTGAAAGGGAATGCACATTGCAATGAGCTGCGATCGATGGACGGGCTCAGAGGAACTTACGATCTGTGTGGCTCTTGCGCAGGCGATTCGCATCCTCGGCATGGCAGAGGCAGTAGAGACTCTTGTTGACCAGATCCTCGGGCGTGTAGTCCAACAGGTCCGATACTCTGCAGCAGAAAGGAGGGAGAAAAAGAGAAGGTATATCAGTAAGGGCTATTGGCCCAGGTAGACTAGCCCCACTCACCTGGGCTCGCAGTGCGCCACGCGCAGATCAAAGTTGACGCGCGTCACAAACATGTCGCACTCCAAGCGTATCTCGTGCACCGAGGGCGGCGGCAGCGCAATGGCCAGGGCGACCATGCCCAGCAGCGGAGGCTGCGCCTTGCGCGTGTGCGAGAAGGTGTACTGCGGACGCAGCTTGCAGAGCAGCAGCACCACCTGCAACAGCAGCAAAAAACCAAGACCGACCATCGAAGAGTTAGTGAAAATAGGTCAAAGACTAGCTGCTTAAGAGCTATGATAGAGAGAGACAGATAGAGAGAGAGCAGCAGTGAGAGGGGAAGAACTGCTCACGTTCAGCAAACTGCTTGAAAGTGAAGTGTAGCAGCGAGCTTTCAGAAGGCTATCGTGGCAGAGAGCTGAATGCTATTATATACAGTTGACGACTGAATGCGATGATTGATGATGTTGTTGATTGCACTTAGTGACAAGAAGCTGACAGTTATGAATTGCTCGCTTGATGTTTCGAATTGGACTGAGTGACAGGAAGCTGAAAGCTATACATAAGTGCTGGCTGAATGTGTTTGTTGGCTGGTGATTGTTGCGTATGCTACCACAGATAAAAACAGTAAGATAGATATATGTTCATATTGTAGATGGGTAGAAGTGTTCAAGGCATATTGAATTCGCATTGCCATGTGCTGCATTGCTGTCATCTGCTATAAGCATATGGTAAATAATATAGTATATAGGGTATGTGACTGTTGAAGGCTTAGTATATATAACAGATATATTTGTATTATGTGTATATACTAGCATATAAAATATATTGGAATTTCCTGAACAGACAGTTGAGTAATGTGATATATTAGAAATTTATTGCCAATACCTACATATAAAATGATGTGATAGAATTATTATGAATAGTCCTATATAGTATATTTGTATGTATATTCATGTGATGATATATAGTTTACTAAAGCAGCTATATTCGCTGTTGATCAATGCAATATCAGAATGACTGTGGGCTATCTCCTCTTGGCTCTTGACTGTGTGTAGTGTATTTAGCATAGATATATGGGATGACCGATATCAGTATAGTATAGTGGCTATATTCGATGCTGATCAATCTAAAATCAGTTTTGCATTGCCTGCTCAAACGAAATGTGGCCGAAAATTGAAAAACTGATTGATAAATGGCGCCTCGAGAGGCGTCGTCAAATCATAAACTAAATTAAATTTTGCTTCATTTGATTTTTTTTAATAATTAAATTTTAGGTTGTTTAGGAATTTGTTTTAGTTGCTCTGCATTTTGTTGTACTGATTTCAATTGATACGTACCGAATAGTTCGAGGCCGGATTCTTAACATTTTTACCATTTGTATTGCTACCGCTGCAATTGCTGGTTGCATCGCTCGCCTGTAGATAAGCATTGGGATGGTGATGGTAAAAAATGGCTAACAGACAGCTCTATATATGTATGTATATATGTGTGTATTGTACGTTCAACCAAAGATCGGTTAGTCTACTGCCCCAGCACGTCACGAACCGGACAAACGAATTCGCTAAGTGTTAGAAAGAAAGCTACGAAACCAAAAACAAACTCAAAAGAGAACCAAACTAAGGTCTACTACACTATGCTACAGGGCTCGGAGTTGAGTTGAGTTGACTTGAGTTGAGAGTCAGTGCTTGAGGCTTACCCGGTAGCCGGAGGACTTGAAGTGGCATCCGCGCTTGGTCAGCGTCGACTTCATCCGCACGCAGAAGCTGCGATCGTAGCCCTTGTAGCCGCTCGTCGAGGCCTGCGTCATGGAGGCGGCAACTGCAAGAGGAGGATGAAACGGAGTTTAGCTAAGGTCCAATTGGGCTGCGGTTAGTTGGGCTCTAACTGGTTAGGCTAGTTGGCTAGCCGGACGCCCGGGATACCCAGGTTCTTGGTAGCAACTCGGACTCGACTCACCGTCTGGATTGTTCGTACCGTGTGTGCCGCTGCCGTCGTCCGAGGCGCCCGACGTGGGTGAGGCCAGGCCAGCCGCACCACTGCCGCCGCCGCCGCCAGCTCCCACACTGCCGCCGCCGCCGGCGCCGCCACTGGTGAGGCTCAGGCCCAGCTGGTCGGCGATCTCCGCATGGTCCGCCTGGTGGATGTAGTCGAATATGCTGCTGCCCGTCATCTCCACCTGCGAGAGGCCCAAATAGATGGACACCGTTTCCGATATGTACAGGAAGCGTCCATCCGCTGCCACCGCCAAAGCGAAGCCATCCAGCGACTGCGGCAGAGAGAAAACGAAATTCAGTTAGCCAAATTTGCATAAAGTTAACGCCAAAGATGGCTGCCCGCATAGCAACTCATATATATCTTTCTCTCTCTCTTTCTCATTGTCTGCCTCTCGCTCTTTCGCTTACCTGTAGTATGTGGGTGCCCTGATGTTGCTCGAACAAATCAACCGCGGGACTGCGTCGTATGGCTGCACCTGCAATGGAGAACGAAACGCATGCCAAGTGGCAGAGCGGTTAGCAATTGGCTAGAGGCAAAAGCAACACTCAAAAGGTGCTAAAACAAGGTGTGCGAGTGACGTAGCTGCATTCCCTATACACTTGCAGGGCATGTATATAGTTATAGAGCTATAGATAAGATATACTTATTTATAAGTGATAGATATAGATAAGATAGAGGAATATAGCCAACTTAAGCCCAAGCTGGTTTCGCTTTAAGCTAACTTGAAGTGATTCAAGCAAACTCCGACCGAAGGAAGCCCTATTCATGGCACTTTGCCTGGGTTGTTTGCCCATCGAAGTGGCCAACAGTGGTCATTGCCACGTCATGCTATGCTGGCCACGTCAACATTCAGTTATTGTCACGTCAAAGGCATGAGCGAGGTGCCTGAAAGAGAGGGGAGAACGGCGGCAATGGCAGCTGGCTGCAAATCGAGTCGAAAAGGTAGACAAGGCGCTAAAAAATAATCCAAAATCAATGGGGCGTTATGTATGGCCAAAAGGGGGCCACAAGTGAAAATAGAGAGGGAGGGAGGGGAAGGGGGACGGGCGTTAGTTCAATTGTATTATTATGCGCAACTAAAGCCCAGAAGGCAGAGCAACAAGCTGCGGGCAATAAAAACCACTTCAATTTGACCCACCGACAAAAAACGGAACGGAACGAAACGAAATATATATGTATGTATGTATGTATGTATGTATGTATAAAAATATTATGAAAGCGGGGCGGGGTAAGGTCATTAAAGGCAAAGCTGTTATGGTGGGCCTCAACACCCACACATGATAGAGAGAGAAAGGAAGAGAGAGAGACACATATGGACAGCGGAAGCGGAAACTGTTTGCCAACTGGGCAACTCGAGGCGAGGCCAAGAAATCGCTGGGGATTCACAGCAGCCGAGTGGAGACGGGAAGAGCAGAGGGAGGGAGGAATGGGCAGGCTCAAGGAGCAAGGGAATTGGCATTGGACTAAAGCGATTTGCACTTGTGCGAATTATGACCTGGCAGCGGTCTGAGGGGGTTGCTTGTGGTCGGTCTGTCGGTCGATGGGCTGGCTTGACCGCCCATAATCGTAAAATTCTATAATTGAATTAAATAAATATGCTTCGCATGGGCCACAGCTGAGGAAATATTGCAAGAGCTCACATATTTATGACACTCGACTCGACAGCTCGACGGCTCGATGGACCAACGGCTCTGCCAAGAGTGCTCCGAGTGGGCAATCAAATGATGATGCGAGAATTCAATGAGAATTGCAGACAAGTTGGAAAAACATTTCAGCATGAAGCACAATTTCAATTGAATACAAATATAAATTTATATATATATTTATTTATATATATATTGGCATAGCATATGACTATGAGAGTCCAGGCTTATATTTACTGCCTAGAGTTCTGTATGAAATATTCAGTATATTTAGGATCGACTTTTAGGATATACTACTTTCTTTTTCATTATTTCAAATATATAGAGGTTCATCGACTAAAGCACTCTTTCAGCTTGAATAGGTATAAAAATAATTGTAGGTACTTTTTATTTCTGTTTCACGTTCCAGAACCAAATCAAGTTTATCTAACTATAAAATTATAAAATAAAAATTTATAATATAAATCTAGGTTGATTTCCAGGTGAAAGCTGGCATGGCTTGTCTCCATTAGGGTTCGTCATCTATTTTCGAAGTACTTTAACGACTGCCTAGATTTGTATAATTGCTTATGGGCTCTTTGGCTATAATGAGCTCAGTCGCTGTCCAATCGGAGTGGCCCGGCGGCTTGGCTTGGCCTTCTGGAATTCCACAATGACAGCTATGACACACAGTCACGGCAGTAAAAACAAATCAACATATCAAATAGGCAGAGTGAGAGAGAGGGAGAGCGAGAGCGAGAGGGAGAGCAAAATGGCTGCGCATGCGCAGTAAATAAAATATAAATTGCGCTTAATAGCGATATTTTATGCAAATGAATAACTGACGGCCCCCAAAAAGCCCCTCAAAAGCCCAAAACAAAAATATAAAGCCAATAAATTGTTTGGCTTCGGCATTTGTTGTTGTTTATTTTAAGGTGCGCGCGCATATTGTTTGTAATTTTATTTTATTTTCAATTTTTGGTTTTGTTTTCGGTTTTTGGCATAGAAAAGTTGACAAATCTGTGATTTCACTGTGCCGTTGCGAGGCGACGCCACTGTAAAATGTAGGCAAATGCGTTTCCTGCTTTCGGTTTTTATCGCTCTCGCACTCTCCCTCTCTCCCTCTCTCCTACTATCTCCCTCTACCTATTTCTTCGCCGCAGCAATGGCGCACAAAATGGCCGCCCACGCTGCCGTACAGTCGCGTATGCAAATGAGCCATGCATGAAATTTCACTTACACTGGTGGCGCAAATAGAGTGCACGCTCGCGATCTGAGTCGAGTTTGGCAGGGAATTTGATATGGTAACCGAATAGAATCATGTTTGGTGCGAAGAGTAAACTAAAGTTAGACAACAGATGGATTCGATACTCACTTTTTAGCTTGCTGCTGCTGGACGCCTCTCGGGTCCATGGCGGATCGCCGTGCCCGGAAAAGTCTCTCAGTTTCAAGTAGCTAATGGTCAGTCTTATTATGGAGGCCTTGTCCAGCTGGCTGGTTATGGCTGCTGGCAGCGGCAGCATTTTGGCCAGCTCATAGAACTCGTAGTTCTCCTTGCCGCGCCGCGATCTGGCCGCGTCCCTCGACTTCTCCTTGCGCAGCTCCAGAATGCTGCAAGTGGAAAGGGAAACAGAAGATTAAGACAAGCCCAACAAAGCCAAGGCAATAAATATTGATATATTAGGCGGGTGTTAAGTAGACACTGACGAATGGGAAGCTGCGTCTAGGCCAGGCAGCCTACATCCTCCAGGTAGACACACTCCCGCTCCCGCTCCCGCTCSCTCTCCCTCTCCCTCTTCCCCTCCCTCTCACTCACACCTGTCGTCGCTGTGTCAACTGTTGGCAATTTGTTTGGCTGATGGAATGGTGTCAGAGTCCGAAAACAAATTGCCAGCCATTTGTCAGTCTTTCAACGGACCAGACTCTCACGATCTTGCCGCTCTTTGGTTTCTACTGTTCTAGCTGAGGATAAATTGCCTCGTTTTCTATGCGCAACAGATTTTCCATTGTTGAATGCATCTCCCCCAGAGAGAGGGAGAGGGAGATGTGTCTCTATCTTTAGCGCTGTGTGTTTAGTGGCAACAAAAGCTGCCTCCTCTTGTGGCAGATGCCGCCCGCCAGATACTCGATTCGATCTCTTTGAGCTGCACTCAGTTTTCCATTCAGCAACTGGGTAAACGGGCAGCCCACAGCCGACTCATGGCACTCCGAGCACTCCGAGCACTCAAAGCCAGCCGCTGCTGCTTCTCATATCGTTTGGCCCATCATCTTCGCCAGAAACTTGGCTTTAAAGCGTTCATAATTTAAGTTTGTTGTCATCTTTCCTTGTCGTCGCGTCGCGTCGCGTTTCGTTTTGTTTTCGTTTCTGTTTTTGTTTTTCGTGTTTGAGTGAAATTTCATTCCCTAGCATTGGAGCGAGCTTATGGGCATTCAGGCGAGGCTTGGTGCCAGCCTTTTCATACCCGGAACCCATTGAAGATGGGCAATCGGGGTATAATGGGCTTCTGAAAATGCATTAGCAGCCGGCATGAATACTCTGAATCTGGATGAAGACGACCTGGCTGGATATAGCTCGGTCTAACCGTCGGCATGTCATGTAGATCATACGATACGACATACGATATGCTTCACTTTTGACTATATAGCAGAAGCTATTGCATATGCACCCCTTAATAAGAGGATATTACGGCCGAGATCCAAGTGTTTTATGTTCCACACAATTTTTATTTTATCCAATATATTAAAGTTTGACTACCGATGGTCATTTCTCTAGGATGTTTTAGCTAGGTCAAATTATCTTGATTTAGTCGGGGGCATTAAGCTCTGCTACTAAGAAATGTATTATATTTGGTGACGCTTTTTCTTTTAGGTTTTCCCTCGAGATTTTTTTTGTACAGATTATGCAGATCTATGCATGGAATAATTGCATAAATTGTTAACATTATTATTAAGCTCTGCAATACTTTCAATATTTAAACTCAACTGTTTTCTATACAGATATTTTCAACAGAAGTTAGCACACACACATATACAGCATTCTAGACATTCACACATTCAGGAGCCTCATTCCCAATCAACATTAATTACAACTTTTCAACACTGTTGCTTGCCTCACACTCAACCACGTGAGACTAGGCCACCTTTTGTAGAGTATTTGAAGTCTCCACATAAGCACAGTCCCATTTTCTTGCCCTTCTTCTTCTGTGGGCTGCCTCGCTTTAGCCAGATTTGTTGTTGTTGCTGGTCCGTCTTTCAGTTGCTGTACATTTCGTACATTTTGTGGCCTTTTACATTTATTTTAATGTCTGTGGGGCATCTGTAAATGCGCTCATCACACAGTCACACACACATACACACACACACACACACACACAGAGAGCTCGAGAGGTAAGTTTCGTGTAAGTTTGTTGAAACCAAAAGGCAGAAAAAAAAGAAGCCGCGGTGGATGATGCTTATCGTTGGGGGCACTGCCTCGCTGGGGCTATAAAAATATTTTTGTTGATAATTAAAATGAAAACGGCGTAAAGAGCGCTTCGAACAGAAACCCGTACAACATGCGTCTGCCACGGGCCAAGCCAGTTTTTAACCTCAGCAGCGTCTTTGGGTTTTTTTTTAATTAGTTTGTTAAATCTGAGCTTGTTTTGAAATGTTAAGCTCAAAGCCTAAGAGTACCTGATGTTTCTTGCTTTCCCGAAAAACTTGCAGTTCAAAGAACTTAACTAGAAATGGAACCGGCCAATTCGCAATTGGCCAAAGAGTGTGAGAACCTGGCTCATTAATCTTGCCTGACTTCAATATCAAATAACATAATAACCTTTAAATTGCCTCCGCACTAAGGCGGACGAAATTAAATGTCTTTGCAATTTGTCAGGGCTAGAGGAAAATGCCTTGATAAATGATTTCTTGCGATTCGAATTCGCAAAACGGGAAAAATAAGAAAAAATTTAAATGAGGGAGCTGCGCGGCTATAATTTGGCGTGTAAATTGCATGTCATTAGCGAAATGAGAAAAGGGAGAGAGAAACAGTGGGAGATGGGCCGGGGGCTGTCTTAGTATGTGTGAGCATTGAAAGCTTGTCCTTTACAGCCTGACAGATATGCTAAAAGCGTTTGCATATGTGAGCTGAACAGGTGAACTTAGATTTATATATAGGCAGACATAACCATGCTACAACTGCACCCGATGTTCCACTGAGAGTTGAGAACTGACTTAGTATATGCGAGCAGGCTTGCTATATAACATCGCTTTAGGCTCCGCTGATTTGGGCCTTCGTTTCCACTTGATTGGCTGGGAAAGATCGATTAATCGATTTACTTTGGCAACTCCAAATATTGTCATTTGATTAAGACTTTAAGGCGAACTTAGGCAGCTAAGCGGATTACAAGATCCTAGCTGCTGCGGTTGCCAACACAAATTTGCCAAAAATCAAGTCGAGGATCGCGATAAGGGTGGGAAAACTGCGCTGGACTGCATTTTCTTTGCTTTCGTTTTCCTTCTCGGGGTTACCTTTCACACACACTCATGCACAGAGGAGAGAAGAAAAGGAAAAGTGAAGGATAAGAATGTCTCGCTTCATTGTTTAGGGGCTGTGAGAAGTGCCGTTATGTCTTTATCACTTTATGTGTTTTTTTTTGTTTGTTGCCAAACACAGCGTGAATAGCTGTAAATGTTAGTCAGCTATCAACTGCCATTATGTAATCAGAATTCGTGGAAAACACAGAAGCTAAGCCAACAAATAAAACTATTCGAAAGAGCCATAAAAATGCATCTGGAGTGGCCTCAAATGGGAGCGTGGCCACAGAAGGCCCTGATAATAGCTCATTTGAAGTGAATTTTAAAATGTGATTGGATTGAATTTGATTGGCAACAGTAGCAAGAGAAGATTGAGCTATATTTCATACTTGATCGATAAATGGAGCTATACGAAAACTAGACGGCTAAACTAAAATAAATAAATACTTTGATCAGAGTGTGTTTATACATGATATCTAATCAGTTATATAGAGAACGGCAGAGTTGCTAATGGCTGTGAATAGTCTGAATAAAAATACAGAAGTTCTTTAGGCTTAGATGGTAAGTAAATAAATATATTTGGATATGAGGCATTGAGGCCTTTAATTTAATTCGTAGTCAATTTGATTGGAATATTTGTTTATGCATGGAATATTGATGAAGATATTTCTCTCATTCAGAGCAAGCCAAAGATTCCTTATATAAAATATTGAATATGTGAGACAGAAGAAGTGAGTTTAACCTCAATGATAAGAATAATTGTGGAAAAGGTATACCACTCTATTTCCCTATGACTTCTTGACTTGAAGTGCCAAAAACCGCTGCACTAAATTCCCGTCTACATTCACGTCCCAGTCTCATCGAGAACTGTAGGAAATCAGAGAACTCGATGCATTCGTTTCACAAGACTTTTCCACTCAAGGCACTCTGTTCCACTGTCCATAGGGCATATAGTTGGTATATTTGTATAATTTGGTCAATTTACCCGGTGTCAACTAACCCTGGTTCGATGGGTTGCTGTTGTCCGTGCATGCCGGGCGCGCCCGGCTGATGCTGGTTGGGCATTTTGTTGTAGGGCGACATGCCGCAAAGGTCCTGCGTGGGCACCATCCAGGAGTGGGTGAACGGCACGGCGGGCATGCCCAGGGAGCCGACCATGTGGCCGCCGGGATGGCCGGGCGTCGGCTGGCGCTGGTAGCCGGCGTAGTCCATGGCCACGGCCTGGTAGGGCAACATTATAGCACTTGAGTTCAGCTTCACTCTTGCCTCTGGCCCCTTTGCACTTGACTCTTAGCGTTTCTCTTAACTAGCACTGGCACATGTTTGCGATATATGGACACAGATATAGATAGAGATGGAGATGGAGATGGAGATGGGGACTATTGCACTTGGGGCTTTTCTTTTCTATTTATTTTTGACACACTTTTCGGGCAGCAGGTCAACGACGCATCCTTTGTCTGTGTTGTCTGGCGGAGCACGCGTACGTGTCGGTTGCTTCCTTCAATTATCCTTCGACCCGCACGTCGCAGCACGCACGTAAAACTAACGTCGAGTGTCTCTACGTCTCTCAGTCTCTCCGTCCCTCTGACTTTCCGTCTGTCTGCCTTCGATTGGCATTCAAATTAGCGTGCAATCGACTTGGCGGCCAGTTAATTCGCACGTCACACGCGTTTGGCACGTCAGACGCGTTAGCAGCATCCAACTGAAAGGCTGGACTACGATTGCGATTGGTATTGGGGGCTGTCGACGCGTTGCGGCCTGCAAACAAATGGGCGCCAATTACGCACGCACAGGGTAGCTGCCACACATACACACACACACACAAATACAGACAGGCTCACACGCCCACACACAAGTACACCGACACGGATACGGATACGGCTACAGTTGCACGGCCGGGCAGCGTACGTGAAAACTGCAGCAAAACGGCGTTGAAAGTAACGTAAAAGTTATATGATGATGACGAAGAAGAAGACAACGACGACCACGACGACGACGACGACGACGGCGAAGACGAGGCAGAATCAGAATCAGAAGCAGACGTAGCTGCAGCAGCAATAGCTGAAACTAGAGACAACTGCTGAGCGCGCGTTACGAGAGTTGTGTTTACGTAGTACGTCCGTTGCGGGCGACGAATACGTGCAGAATAATTCAGAGTCACGTTCACGTCACGAACAAAACCAAAGTAAGGCAAAAAAAGGCAGCGCTGCCATAGACCCCCTCTCACACACACACACACATGCACAGGCTCACAGTGAGGCACGCACACTGAGTGCAAGAGAGAGTCACGCACACAGCTAGACCATTTTTTGGGGGTGACATCTTTGACTCGACACGAAGCAGCCACGACGAGCAACGAGCGACGGAGCAACGAGCGACCAACGAACGTGAGCGAGCAGCGGCGCCTGTGTGTGTGTGTGTGCACCTGACACAGCGCCTGGTCATGTACAGGGCGCACCAGTAGCATTTTAAGCAGCCTCACGCTCCAATTCGCCGCAAGCTCTCTCGCTTCGCCGTCGCTCTACAGCCAGCGCCACTGTGCGGGTGTAGTGCCAGTACTCGGTGTGTGTGTGTGTGCGTGCAAATGGGCGGGACGTGACTGCCGTCGAATCGGAATCAACATAGCGCGCATACCAAATGAGCACAGCAATGCGTGCGAGCGAGAGCCCGCAATATCCACTAAGCAAAGCAGCGCAGCTGTCTGTTATGTGTTCTTCACTGTGTGTGTGTCTCTCTGTGTGTGTGTGTACGTGCAGACGTTATATTGTAAACTAAAACTGGTTTCGCTTGCTCGCTCGCTCGCACGCACGCGCTGCCACTGGCTGTGGATTACAGTGCGACACGTTGGCTCTTTCTCACTCTTTTATATACTGCTTTGCTGGTATCCCCAGTTTTCGTTGGGGCTGCGTCACGCGCAGCAATTAGTTTACTTCTTTACACATTTGGGAATTTGTTTAGCGGCTCTTTCGGCTGTTTGTCTCTCGCTCACGCCCACTGCTGCTGCGTGCGCTCGTGTGGGAGTTTGTTATGTTGTCTGTCGTTCGCGTCTTCTTCTTCTTCGTCGTCGTTTCCTTTTCTTTTCTTTTTATGTGTGTTTGTGTATGTGACCAAAATGCCAATGACAAAATGCCAATGGTGGCGCAGGCAGCCCGACTGAGGTAGAGCCTCGCTGCCAGGAGCTGCCCTTCCAGCGTGCGTGTGTATGAATGTGTGTGTGTGTGTGTGTGCGTCTGCGGGTGGGGCACGATACACGACGCACACACACAGGTAGCCAGGATTTTCTGCTTGCCCAGAGAATTGTTGGGGGCTGTCGAACCTCTTATTATTCCGCTCTCGCACAGCAGGCAGCGGACGGCTGGGGCCTTACTTTTGCGCCTGCTTTTTATGCGTTTATAATAATTTTCAAGCAATCCCAGAAATTGTTTAATTTCATCAATGGGCTAACACGTAATGCCATAGTCTCGCTCGTCGGCCATTTTGTTCCACCAGCAGTTCGGTCAGTCCACTGTGCACAGTGTGAAGAGGAGTGTTTAAAGTGTGTTTGGTAAACAAGCTTTACAAAATAATATATAGACTACCCAGGATATATCACTCTTAAAAAGTAGATAGTATTAAACTTATTTCTATAATTGTTTTTCTCTTCAAATCAAGAAAAGAGAATTAAATTAAATTGTTTTAATATATGTCTAGGTTAAAGGAAATCATTAAGCAATTTATGAAATTATGCCAATCTCCGTTGATATTGGCATAGTTAGTTGAGAGAGTCCAATCGCTAAGTGGTGGCACTTTCTCCCATCTCTGACTGGTTATCGATTGTTTTGGCTAGCTCTAATTGGAGCAGCCAATGACTGGCTGGCTCTATTCCCACATCCTCGTTACGTAAGCGCAACGTAACGTAAGTGAAACATGTGTAGAAACGTGATCGATTTCTTGCGAGCGCGAGACGGAGAGGGGGCGCCAGTGGGGGAGAGTGAGAGTGAGATGGAGTCAATGGCAGACAAGTTGGCGTAGCGAATTCTCCCACAATTACGCGTCGCTAGCGGCAATTGTGAATTTTAAAAAGGAAACGTGCCAAGTGGCGCTGCACTTGAAGCGAGGGGGCTGGTGGGGGGTGGCTCTATGCGTGCGTGTGTGTGTGTGTGTGCTTGTGTTTGGGTGAAGGCGTAGACAATGAATGAGGAACTAAAATTCTGCCTCGCCCACGCTTTCAGCCCGCTCGCCATAAAAATCGAATCGTGAACGTGGCTGCGTTTCCGCTTCCAAAATCCACGTGCAGACAGCGGCCAGACCAAAAGAACATCCAGACAATTGTCAATTGGAGCTGCTGCTGCTGCTGCGGCTGCTGCTGCTCTGCTCTGCTGTTGTAGGTCGGAAATTGATGCGTGCGGACGCCTCGAGGACAATGGCCATGGACGTGGACGTGGACGTGGACGTGCAGCGATGCGTGCCCCCACTTTGGAGCCGAGCGAGTGGCTGAGTAAGAGCTGGTGAGTGAGCCGGTGGCATGGCCATATATAAAGGTGCGTGCTTGCCCGAGTGCGTGCTGCGGCTGTTGATGGACCTATTGGACATGAGTTTGAGTTTTTCATTTTGGTTTCGGTTTCGGTTTCGGTTTTGGTTTCGGTTTCGGTTTCAGTTGCTGTTTTGGTTTTTCAAAAATATATATCGCACACACACGAGAGCGAGAGAGAGAGAGAGGGAGAGGGAGAGAGAGAAATGTGTATGCCAGTCAGGAGCCAATTGTTGCATGACTTTATGAATGGGGCCGGCCGGTTCGACGCTGTGGCCGTGGCACGTATGCAAGTGCTTCCCTCTAATCAGTCGGCAGTCGGCAGTCGCACACAGGAAGAGCGTCAAGTCAAGTGGATTGGTCAAGAGAGGCGCCACTTGCCAGTTATCCATCACGTTTTCTCGGACACACGAGGCATCCATTTCAAATAGCCAACGGGGCAGCGCATCGACGGCGCATTGTTTTGATTTTGCTTCGCTTTTGCGAAAACCAAAACAAAAACAAACGAAGAACGCGGCTTTCGCCATACTTGTATGGGGCGTGATCGATAAAGTTATCGATCGTTGATCACTCGACAGACGATGTAATGAATAACCGTGTCAAATTCTGTTAATGTGATATATGTATGTGAGTAGATTTAGAGCAAAGTTGAGGTGTCACAGTTATCGATAAGTTATTAGATTAAGCGAGCCAAGCGAAAAGGCTGTTGTGAAAACAGTTTCAGCTGGAGCTAACTTGACCCATCGATAATTATATTTCCTCAAGCCCATCGATAAACAATGCATTCCCAAATGATGAATCGAACAGAAGACAGTTCTGTCGTAGATTAAAGTTCAGTTCAAGTTTTACACTCAGTTCGCACTTATTAATTGAGTACCGATAAGCCCATCGAAAAGAATGGTTCAGTCAATACTCGAGTAGTCAAAGGATGCAGTCAGCCTTTCCAGTTCCAGTTCCAGTTGAGTTCCACTTGCAGTTGCAGCTGAGGACCCAGTGGCTTAGAGGAAGCAATAAACTAAGCGCGATCGCTGATCTGTCAAGATGCTCGTCCCACAGGAGAAAGCAATAAAAGTGACACAGGTGATAAAATAACGCAACGAGATGATTCGTTTTTGTTTTTTTTTTTTTACTTCTGTGACTTCGAGTAGCAGAGAAATGCGCGCTATCAGCGTGTAGGATCTGGCAGGCGAGGATTTTATGGCGCTGTGAAAGGTAGCATAACTGTTCTTGGGCCCTGTTACACAATCGAAACACAAAACGATTCATAATTCACAAAAACAAAAACGTAACAAAGCAGAAAACAAACCACAAACCCAAACAAACAATTAAGCAATAAAAAGAGATCGAGTGAGTGAGAAAGAGAGAGAGAGAGAGAGAGAGGGAGAGATGGGAAATTGGAGACAGTGCTCAGCTCGGGAGCTGAAAGTTAGATTTTAATCACACTGTGCGTGCTTCCGATGAAATATATATATAAATATATATATGGATGTGTGTGAGCCCCTCTGATCTACCACAAAATCTTTGCCTCTGGGGCGTAATAATTTTTATATTTAACAAAATGATGAACTGCGACGAGATCTTGAAGATCACTTGAAATGAATTAGTTGAAGTGGAAGGATCGGAGCAGCGTTGGAGACTTGGTCTTGGGTAGCATCAGAGTTGCTATAAATCTAAATCTGAGTTGCTATAAATCTATATACATTATATACTGCTTCTGATTATGATGAGAAGTTTGCCAAGATGAATCGCTTGAAGTGCAAGCAGCAGTGAGCTCAGTTAGTTAGTGAGTTCTGTTATAAATCTAAATATGAGTACATATATTTACTTAATATTAAATACGATTCTGCGATCTTTGATTTGATGAACTGCGAAGATCACTTGAAGATTGTGAATTCGACGATCAAGGCAAATGCTCAGAATGTGGTTTGCTCTTTGACGAGGATTCGTCGAGTATCAAATAATAATTAACAATATACACAAATGTGCCCAAATTATACGATCACTTTAACAAACAAGTACATAAATAAAGAGAAACATTTATTGATCATTAAAATTCTTGCTCTATTATCTTTATTTTGCTTTTTTCCAGTCAAACGTCAATTGATCGCATTCCTCACTTTATGATATTCTCAAAAAACAGAGTAATCACCTCTAATTGATATTTTATATCTGTATTATACGCAATGTATAAGCTGATGGATTGATCAATCGAATGCTGATCAGCGATCATTGACTCTGTTGTTGCCTTTTTGTCAAACTCCCCGTTAGCCGAGCCATAAATTATGATTGCCTTTTTTTTCAAGCCAAAAATAAACTAAAGTCAACAAGTGATCCACATCTGAGATCCCCCCTCTCCCTTTCCCGCTCCTACTTCAGTCTCTGCTGTGCTCCGATCTGTTCATTTCTCGTTCACTTTTCTGGTATTTAGCAAATAATTCGCATGCCGAACCGTCGCAGCGCCGTCGACAGCGGCGACACAAAGTGCGCAGTTGTG